TTCTCTGATTACATCATCAAGAAATAAGTAAATTAATCTCTTTGCATTTTAAATAACTGATTATTTATACTGGGTGATGATTGAAGGTGAAATGAAAATTTAAACCTTGGCTGGATTCGAACCAGTGACCATCGGGTTTCCGGCCTAATCTGGCCGCGGTCCAAATTTTCATTTCATCTTCAATCATCACTCAGTAATAAATAAACTAGTCTGCCAAACTAAGGTTATCTCAGATAGTCAAATGATAATCAATATTATCGTTTCCTTAAAATAAATCCATAAATGATTCAGTTATGTAGATACAACCATCAAAGATGATTACTTTGATGAGTTTGGTTCATGAGAAGAAAGAAATATCCAACGACTCTGCTGTTAATTTGCCTAGCAGTCACCTTCTTCCACACGTACATATGTCATAAGATCTTTTTAAATTCTCCTGTCATTCAGATTAAGCAGTTTTAAACTTCTGTTTTGGGATACTCTCTCTAATTCTACAATGGATTTCGATTCATTACTAGCTTTCGAACCCTATTCATTCCTCCATGGCATACTGGACAGTGACTTAGCGTTTGAAGCGCTGAGTACACAGTTCGAGTCTCGGTGGGGACAATATCACCCACTGGAGTGCAGGTACATCCAGCTGACGAGATCCAAATTTAACCGAATACGCATCCTGGATTCCTCTGCTAACCACAACCAACTAAATTATCAAGTTCAGAAAGATTACACACTTTTATTCTACGTGAAAATCTCTTGTCTTTTAACTTCTCATGGAATCGTCGTTTAATACGATCAGGTAGTGAAAATAACTCATAATATTTCAAGTCTACTTATTTTCTGCTAAGTAGTTATTTCTGTTATTATTATTGTTTCAGTTATTGATGTTACTTCTGTTATCCTCCACTTTCTCACATCTTTTGATTTCTTACCTTTCTTCACTATCAATTCAATAATTATATTTTGTGCATAATATTTATGTTTAAAGTATCATTCATCATGGACTGACATCAGTTGGAGAACCATTGAAAAACTTTGATGCATTGGACAACCATTTCGTCCTAGTATAGGACTTCTCAGGACTGTGCACTCATAACTTTCAACTTCCATGGTGAACGCGTTAACCACTCACCCACTGTGTCGGAGTTCAATGGTTCACAGTTTCCAACTTCTTTCGGTTCGTGATATAGTTCAACTGCAAGCCAAAGTCTTTAGTTGCTATCCGTTTACCTTCTGACTGGCTGACCCCATAGGTCACGACTTCTTATTAGAACTTCAAGATATTCATATCGAAGCATATCACTAATGAGCACTACACTGTAATGTATTTTGAGGTTAGTGGCGTACTACTGAAGAGTCGTGCGTAAGGACGAAACGGCTATTCAATACTCCTAGGTTTTCAATGATTCTCCAACTGATGTCATGATGAATGCTACCTTAAACATAAAATCCTCATTAACCTCAAAATATAATGTATATGTTAAAATTGTTTCTGATGGAAAACATTGTCAATTTTTCACTCTGGCACTCAATATGTATTCTGATACTGTTCGATTGGAACTACAATCTTAGCCCTATGTAGATAACTACAGTTTATGATGGATGGTGGCTAGCAGTGTAATCCAGGATGCGCATTTCGTCCTATTTGGAATTTGTCAGCTGGATGTACCTGCTTCCCAATGAGTAATGTTGTTCCCACCGGGATTGGGACTCGGGAGCGATCGCTTCAAACGCCACAGCGTTATCCACTACACCACCGAGCCACGATAGCCAATGGGAAGCAGGTACATCCATTTGACGAGTCCCAAATAGGACTACAGTTTATTTAGAAATGTGTACTGTTCGACGTATAAGAACTGAACAAATTCTGAAGAATATTTCAACAACTTCGGTTGTTAGAATTTATTCGATTACAGTATAACTTCATTATTGTCGAAATAACCTTTTTTGTTGTAAACAATTTATTTGTATTTTATTGAATACTTGTCATCCGGAAATCCATATGTACGCAATCCATATGTATGTAACTGTTTACTTTAAAGCGAACAAACTTCTTTATGCATTCGTGGCGGTCCTATCAATCTTATAGTTGATTTTGTAAATAAACAGAACACGGTGTCATATACAGTATGGACAATGGAAATGTGGAAATTAGCTGAATCAATGTGACTGATCTATTTATTATTATTATTATTATTATTATTATTATTATTATTATTATTATTATTATGGCCAGCTTGAATCCTTTACTAAGCTAAGCCAACTTCCCCTAAACATAGCATGTCGAGCTAGGTGGTGACTCGACATGCATAACACTGATCCAAGCTATCGATCATAGTCGAATTAAATTTCCTCACCCTATTCTTATTCCCCTTTACTTACAAAGCTGGGATAAGCTTTTCTGATCGATTTGCTATAATTCACTTCCCTACATTATATCGATCTTCGTTCCATATCATGATGTAATTGGATGATCATAAAGGTCACCTTCCTTGCTAAAAGTCGAATCGTGACCAGAAAACTTAATGTTAGTTTTGTACTCTTCGAATGGACCTTCCAAACGTTGATGATTAATACAAAATATTTGGTTATTTTCTTATTTGTTCTAATATTGTTCTACACTGGGATAATACAAGTAAAAATAAGCCTTATACGATGAATTTATCATTATCATATTGACTATCTGAAATAGTCGTGGTTTGGCAGACTAGTATTGATACTGGATGATGACTGGAGATGAAATTAAAATTTGTACCGCCGCTGAATTCGAACCAGTAACCACCACCGGGTTTCCGGCCTTGTACTCTACCAACTGAACTAACTACCAGACCCAACTGCTGACCATATTTTTATTTCACTTCAATCACCAAGGGTTTTACCCAACTACTATATGGGTTCGTGACATGGTCAACAGTTGGACCTCGTAGCTCAGTTGGTACAGCGTCAGGCCGGAAATTCAGTGGTCGCTGGTTCAAATCCGGCTGTGGTACAAATTTTCATTTCACCTTCAATGCATCATCCAGTATCAATACTAGTCTGCCAAACCACGGCTATCTCAGATAGTCAGGATGATATTATTATTGTTACTATTACTACTATTATTATTATTATTATTATTGTTATTATTATTATTGGTTGCCAATCGATATTGAACATTGAAGTTTATTATTTTTTTATTTTCGAACTTATGGAATGAATTTATCGGCACATCCCAGTAGGTAATCTTTGTCTTCCAACTGTGATTTGAACGAGTTTATCGTGATTGAGTTACTTTCATTAACTTTTTATTCATACTGGAATTATAAATGCCATTCACTTAACAACTTCTAAATAGAATAATATTGAATCTGTTCGATTTCATTATTAACAAGTCTCTAGTGAAATATAATCAATGATCATTAATATTGTCACCATAGTATTTGTATTATGTATACAAATAACAAAGTGGATACATAAACAATAGGTTGCTAAGTGAATCACCAACTAACTCTAGGATAAAATGATTACTATTCAATTTTCAATCCAATTAAACTCTCAATGCAGCGTATTTAAGGCAGGCAATCAGTAGCTAGCTTAACAACAGTAGTGTAAAATGAATATTCTACTTAATAGCATAAAAGAGAAATTTAACCAGTGTTTCTACCTTGTTGTTTAACTCTTCAACAGTGAAGATTGATACAAATTCTTGACATTGTAAAATATCTTCACTTGATATATAAGATATATAAATATAAGTTAGAAAATATGAAGCACTGAATTTAATCTCACTGATGGTGATTATCTATGCTCTAATATGGTGCTCAATATGGTGCTTGAGAATTTCAGATTATGAATATTGTATTGTACTTGGTTTTCAATGGTTCCAATGTCGACAATCACTTTATAATGAATAAATGTTATCGCAAATCACTCACTTAAATAATGATGACAATAAATACATAAATACCGATCTACTAGTCATCTAATTTTTAATTTGACTGATGCGGTTAAAACGAAATATCATTCAAAGGTTTTACTGTGCTTTTTATAGATTGTCTAAGAGTCTCTTACGTTTGTTAGTAGTAGAACACACTGACCTGGGAACCTGATAGTCAAAAATGACAATCAATGTGACGCTCCCCTCCTCATTCTAATTCAATTAGATTTGGATTAGTGTGAGAAGTCCTGACTGGGCAGCTAAAGTGAGTCCGTTTAAGCGATAGTAACGCGTCACAAACTCACATGGTAGTCGGGCAAAACCTTTAGTGATTGAAGTGAAATGAAAATGTGGTCAGCATTCAGACCTTGCTGCTCAGTTGGTAAGTCATTGGGCCGGTAACCCGGTGGTCGCTAGTTCGAATCCGGCTGTGGTTCAAATTTCCGTTTCACCTTCAATCATTATCCAGTATCAATATTAGTCTGCCAAACTACGGCTATCTCAGATAGGCAAAATGATAATTTTTGTTATTTGTCATGGTAAGTTATGGAAATCAAAAAAGGGACAGGCTATGGACAGAGTAATATCTGTGACAATGTATGTCTGGATGATGATATTCACACTGAAGCGTTATGTAAAGTGAGCTCTGATTGCTGTTAGACGGTTAGAAGCAACTGTCTAATCTAGGTTTCGTATTTGTTGACACTCGTCAACAGTGCATATCTGCAATCTCTAGGGAATTGATATCCCCTAAGAGATTTGAACTGGCTCCACCTAGGGGTGTCAGAGACGTTACCACCAAGCTATTCGGATCGCGATATGACATCAATCAACGTGCAGCGGGATGGTCATTCGCCTAGCCTAGTCACTATATTACAATCAGTCAATACTTAGGACTATAGAATATGAAATTGGTTACTTTCTAATGACGAATTAGTTTAAAGCCAACTATTATCGACCTTATCCATGTTTTCAGGGTGGATAAGGGGAGTATGAATAACAAACATTTTGTTAGTTAACATATATTCCGGTAATACCAATGCATTTTAACTCTTACTGCTTTGTTACATTTTTTCTTCTTTCTTAGGAACGCGATTTAAAACAATACCTGCATGATTGTCATGGAATTATGCATCCAGACAATGTTCAATTGTTTTTATATCAACTATTACGTGGTTTAGCATACTGTCATGATCGTCGTATACTCCATCGTGATTTAAAGCCTCAAAATTTATTGATCAATAGTAGAGGTGATTTAAAACTTGCAGATTTTGGTCTAGCTCGTGCTAAATCAATCCCAATTAAAACTTATTCCAATGAAGTTGTTACTCTTTGGTAAGTTATTTGACTATGTTGACGGTAGATGCATTAATTTATTTTTTATACGTGCATTACTACCATATTCGCTAGCAGTGGAATCCAGGACACACATTTCGTCCCATTTGAGACTCGTCAGCTGGATGTACCGGCCTCCCAGTGAGTGATTTTGTCTCCACTGGGATTCGAACTTGGGACCGATCGCAAGCAATAATATATATTCGTATTGTTTGGATGTAAAGCTTATTGCATCCTCTACTACTACTACTACTACAGGTCGGTGACCGTTCCTTTCTTCTTTTGGGTTCTTAGATATGATTATTTCTTCATTCAATACGTGTGTGTGTACAGGAACTGGTCACCACTAGACCCCTGAAATTAGCGGATATGAAAAGATTACAGGTTTTCTCTTTTTCTATCCAGTTGTTTTATTTATACTACTGTCAAGTGTGGCAACTTGAACCGATCCACTTGTGTGCGACGTTCTACTTTGATTTTTTTCTGTCTCTGTCTTTCTCCTTACAGGTTTTTGACCACTTCTGGTTACTTAACATTGCTGGAATGTGCTAGGTTGGATATGTGTTGCGCATGCCGTTCCACTGCTTATCTAGATGTGTCATCCTAGGGAAAGCTGACTTAGGTTGGAAGAGGGCTTAAGTCGACCAGACCCAAGACGTAACACTCATCGATCAAGTCTCTGACTATTGCCATATTAGATTTGTTTATTTGACCTATAACACACAGTGATATAGTATTACTTACTTCATGCCGTTTCGAGCATAAATTATCATTGCTTATAATTATATCACTGTTGGCCTGAGTCATGCAGGGAAATGCAGACTATCTGGCTGGAGTCTTCAAGATGATAGGAATCAGTGGTTGAGGAATGTTGGTGATATTCACTCTTTGATATCTTCTAAAGCTTGAATATTCACTTCAACCTTTATCTTCAGATTGTTTATTCCCTCACACAACTTTGTGTACTTTGATACCAGTCTTTTTCTATCCACCTATCCTTTGTTATAGTACTGTATGAAGGAAGTATGGTAATTTGTGTACTAAATTCTACGTTAATTTTATCTATCTGTCTGTCTTCATGTTAACTCTGCTTCAATACTTAGGGCAACAAAACGAAAAAACAAAGAAATTATTTTTTTTTCCCCTTGGGATCCTAGTGGAACATAGGGCTTCAGTAGCACGTCGACATTCCACTCTCTTCTCTACGGTATTTTCAACCTGGCTTCACGACTGCCCACAAACTTTCATTTCTTCCTCACATGATCTCCTCCATGTCAACCTTGCCTCAAACGCCCAACTCATCATTTCCCCTTTGGATTCCACTCCACGGCCTGACATGGCGCGTGATCTCCTCAGTCGGTCTTCTCAGTGCATGTCCAATCCATCTCCACTTTTTTCTCCTGCTTATTTGCTGGGTGATAGGTTGTTGGTTGGTTCGTTGCCAGTCAGAGTTTCTTGTTGCTTATTCTTTCTGGTCATCTATCTGATCTTCAGTATCGAGTGAGTGAGCGTAGGCGGCAGGTATTGATGAATGTCTGTAGTTTGTTGGAAATGCTTTTTGTGAAACGCCAAGTTTCTGAACCATCACATAGCAGCATTGACTTGACACATTGGTGTTGGAAATCCGGATCTTGTTTTTTTGTGTTGAGTAGTCATATATTCTTCTTTAAATGTAACAGAGTGTAGTTATGTAAAGTGAAAATGATTTTTTAAAAACAGTCAGTTTTTTATTTGTGGATGTATACGAAGTTATTGACTCTCACTAATGAATAATAAAAATATTTCTTAAACATTATTTCAAGTTGTTATTCATCGTAGACTGACATCAGTTGGAGGAACAAAGGAAACCTGGGAGCACTGGACAGCTGTTTCGTCCTAGTATGGGACTCCTCAGCAGTGCGCACCCACGACCCCACTAGCAGGGATCGAACCCGCGACCTTCGGGTTCCGCGGCCTGCTGGTGGGGTCGTGGGTGCGCACTGCTGAGGAGTCCCATACTAGGACGAAACAGCTATCCAGTGCTACCAGGTTTCCTTTGTTCCTCCAACTGATGTCAGTCTACGATGAATAACAACTTGAAATAATTCCAAATCTCCACAACTCCCTCAAAAAAAAAAATTTAATTAAACATTATTTGATGCATTTTGATGCATTCCTATAACATCTGACTGTTTACAAAGAAATGAGTATACTGTACAACAAGACGCTTTATCCTATCATATGATGATAACACGTGGTTACCAAAGTTTATAGGTCATCAACATTAACATAATGAAAATAATCATATATACTTCTTTTTAATTACTTTTAATTTAATATGTGATTTTCTTTCTTTCTTTCTTTGTTTTTAATTCAATTCCATCTAAGGTCAACTTTAATTTAACCTTCACCTCTGTGATACTCTTTTAGTCTGATTTCTTTGTTAAGTCTACAATTAAAGCCACTAGCAATTAGTACATACATCATATAGCTTGTATTTTTCTTTTAATTGGTAGATGATTGAAAAATAAATCAGGAATAGGTGGTGTAGTGGAAAACGCTCTGGCGTTTGAAGCGATCGCAGCCTAGCCCAAGTCCCGGTGGGAACGACATCACTCACTGAGCGACAGGTACATCCAGCTGACGAGTTCCAAATAGGGCGAAATGCGCATCCTGGATTACATTGCCCATCATTACTATAAATAGGTTAAACAGTTCTTTAAAAATACTGGAGTGATGATTGAAGGGGAAATGAAAATTTGGGCTGTAATTGGATTCGAGCCAGTAACCTACAAGTACATGAATCTTTTCTTGATGTATCTTTATTTCAGGCAAGTGAATATAAGCTCAGAGATATAGGTGGGTATTACTCTTTTTTTCGTGGTAGCTGTGAGATTTTCACTTATCCAATGATTGTCCTATGGTGTCTCCCATAGAGCCATCCTTTCTTCCCTTGTCTTTTCTCTTTCTTCAGCTGATATCAATTCTATCAAATATGCTGATGACTTAACAGTTCCTATACCTATCTCGTCTCCAGCAGATTGTTCCCAACTCAATGATTTCCTATCTACTGTTAGACGATGGTCCTCCGAGAATGGTCTTATCCTTAATTCTTCGAAATGTCAGAGTATAAACTTTAGTTTTAGACATGAACATAACCTATGTAAACTGCTTAGTTCTCTTGATTCCTGTTCTATTGATGATTGTGCATTAGAGAATGTCACAAGTGTGTGATTTCTGTGTGTGTGTGTGTGTGTGTGTGTGGTATGTTTTTCTTCGAATCTTTCCTAATCCTCCCATATCTCACTAATTTTCAAAGGAATCTTCTGCCTAATTTATATTAGGAATTTGAGAGTATCTGGTTTAACTTAGCCCCTCTTCTCTTGTGTTTTATAAACTCCTACATCTTGCCTATTCTCCTCCATTGTTCCCCTTTATTCTCTCCTGGGTTATGTTATTGTTGCGTAGAACTATTAAAACAGTTGTGGATAAATATTTTAATTCGTGTAAACATCTAGCAGGAGTTATTTTATTCGATGACTAGCATCGTCCTCACTGAAAGTTGTCTGTGTGTTAGTCGTCAGGCAAGATGAGGAGCAAGTAGGTAGACTACTAAATATAGAAAGTCTACAATACCGTACGTATTTAGCTCATCTCGTGTGTAAGGAGGGAATGTGTTAGGAGCGAACTTACCAATCAACTTTTGTTTTTGAAAGCAAACTAATTGATAATGATGAGCATGTTACTATTTTGCGTATTATGAATTTAGTCGCTAATGTGACTGTCCTCATATCGAACTTGGTTGACTGAAAGAAGTAGGGATATGGATTATTGAATTCCGTCCGACCTCGGGGCTCTATGATAACGTGGTTGCCATGGAGGCTAAAGGTCCTGGATCCGATGCCTCGTGAGGTCGTCGGTGCCTACTGCTGAGGAGTCCCTTACTAAGAAGAAACAGCTGTCTAGTCCTTTCGGGTTTCCACTGTTTCTCCAACTGATGTCAGTCCATGATGAATACCAACCTGAAATCAATGCATCATTAATTTCCGAAGTAATTTTCACTCATGTACGAGATGTATACAACTGACTACTAACCAGCGGTTTCATCCCCCACCCCCCAAACTGTTCAGTAGAAGAGAACAAATATGCACATTAATCTTACAATAAATTAGCGTTAATAATAGTTGTTATGTCACTGATAAGAGGAATGGCGTACTTTAATTACCGAATATTTTGATGAGACTGTTTGAGATAGCCATGATTTAGCGAATAGCTGTTATGATTGAAGGATTTCGCCGATGACCTGTGTCTAATGTCGCACGAACTCGAAGATCTACAGGCGAAAACTAACAAGTTGACAGAAGAGGTGAGGCAGCGAATATAGAGAAGACATGGGTGATGGAGATACCCAACCAACACCACCACCAACAACAACAACAACAGGCACCAATCACCATGAACGGAAGAAACTTAAAGGAAGTAGCCTCTTTCACCTATCTAGGCAGCATCGTTTGAACTACAGGTGGCACAGGCACAGACGAGGACGTCAAAGCACACCAGGATCAGAAAAGCAAGACAGGTGTTCACTAACGTGAAAGCAGTGTTGAGATCTTCTGCACTCAGCATGTGGGACAAGATCCGGATTTTTAACACCAATGTGAAGTTAGTGCTTCTATATGGTTGAGAGACTTGGCGCGTTACGAAAGGGATTTCGAACAAACTACAAATATTCATCAATAACTGCCCCCTACGCTGGCTTGTTACTGGAGCTCAGATGACCAGAATAATGAGAATAGGTAACAAATACTGAGGGGAAGAAAGTGAAGATGGATTGGGCATACACTGAGATCATTCGGGGACATCATGTACCAGGCCAAGCCCTCGAGTGGAACCCAGATGGGAAACGACGAGTTGGTTGTCCGAGGTGTAGTCAGTCAGTCGTTGTTATTGTTTAACGATGAAAATAGTTTTGTTTTTCATATACAGGTTATGAAAAGAAGACTGACTTGTTTAGTTAATTTGTTCATATGCATGGTATATGCATGGTTGTGTACTATGATATCCTGAATATATTTCAGAGATAACCTCTTTGACTGCAACACTAGGTGGTGACACGGGTTCGAATCTTATGCAGGACATCAGTTTTCTACTCTCTCCATTCTTATTCAATTTTATCATAGATATTCTTATGGAGGTCTCCCTCTCGTCACCTGACTACACAGAGGTTCACCTAATCACAGGGTAATTTGCGTTAGACCTAGAACACACGGATAACATAGTCCTGTTAGGTGAAGACGGTGACAAGAAAGAGAGTGTTGAGAACACTGAGTGGGAATTTGAGAATATTTAAGATGCTGTTCTCATCACCCAAATGCAAATTGTTGCTCCAGGATTGGTGTTCAACGATGCCCCACTGGGTTAACAGTAGAGAGTGTAATGATTGAGTGTGTCGATCACTTCACTTATCTGGGTAGTCGGATCAGCCATAGTGACTCAGTACTCGACGAAATTTCTGTATGAATACAAAGGGTTCGACTGACTTTTGCCAACTTACGCCATCTGTGGCACAGCCCCAACATCCGATTGTTGATTAGGGTCGCGTGTAATGCACACCAGTCTACTCTGTTCTACTGTATGTCTGTGAAACATGGCCATTGAAGCTGGAAGACATGAGAAGGTTGGCTTCAGGTGTTTGACCACTGTCGCCTTCGTAGTATACGCCATATTCCGTGATGTCATCACGTGAATGACGCAGAAGTGAGGTGTAGAGTTTTAGGAGGAAGAGGCAAGTCAGTTGATGTGGTTGTGAACCTTCATCGACTGAGATGGTTGTAACATGTGTTACGTATGTGAAGTCGCCGTCTGCCTCATGACACAATGTTGGCCGAAGTAGGTTCAGGGTGGAATAAGGCCAGAGGTGGCGGCCAGACTAAAACATGACATCAATGTATGAAGTGTTTGACTGTTGGTTTGAGCCATGTGGGGAGCGATACAGACTGGGTGGTTGAAGTTCGTGGGACAAGAGGAACCAGTGGTTGGAGACTGTATGTGTTGTGTTGATCTGGGTGAGAAGCGATGTGAGTGGCGCAGATGTGATGTATGCACACATTATTCTCATGTTAACGACGCTATACCGAATCTCACCATTTCCTCATTCTTCCCTTCTCTCTTTTAGTACTTCACATTTCTTTTCTCCATCTTCATCTTCCACTTGATTGCTTGCTTGCTTTGTTGCATGATGTGGTGTGGTGTGGTGTAATGATATGAGATGGGGTGAGGTGTGGCAACTCGGACCGTTACGCAGTAATGCCTGGTCTTATGTTGATAGATGATGATGACATCAGTTCCCTGGAGGTTGCAGATACGCCTTGCTGACGAGTGTCAACTAGTATGAAGCCTAAGTCAATCAGTAGGCCTTTCTGTTGATTACTTCCAACCAAATAACGTTCATCAAATCCCAGTGCTATAGTGAACCTCCTAAATTATCATCCGACTTAGTGTTATTCGATGATTTTTCTCTAGTCCGTAACATATATGAGAAATAGTGTTCTTTCATCCCTCTGCGAAATCAAAAGGTAACTGCATGCACTTTTCTTTGTTATATTTTTTTCATTTCTAGGTATAGACCACCAGATATCCTGTTAGGATCAACTGAATATTCAACACATATTGATATTTGGGGTGTTGGGTGTATATTCTATGAAATGGCAACTGGTTGGCCATTGTTCCCTGGATCTACAGTAGAAGAACAACTGACATTAATTTTCAAACGACTAGGTATGTATAATGTGATATTAATGTTGTTTTCGTTGTCGCTGCTGCTGCAATAACTAAGTTTGACAGTTCGAACTCTGCCCTGCCAATTTTGGCACTATTATAAGTTGTTATAAGTGTGGCTCATAACCTAGTTTGTGAACATGTGTACTGAGTGGATGAATTGCATCACTATTGAACTGAATAATTTTGTATTCCCAAGTTGTGTGTGTGTGTGTGTGTGTGTGTGTGTGTGTGTGTGTGTGTGTGTGTGTGTGTGTGTGTGTGTGGAATTAGTTACTGTTCAGTAAATTTTTTTTGACTCAATGTTCTACCAGATCCAACTCATCCGTAGATCAGCCACCATTTGCGAAATCGAAATGTCCTGCACAACCTTTTGCACATTCGTCCAGTAGGCAATGAGCTGCACACCTGTTGTGTGACTTCCCTAACCTCAGTAAGCGGAGCGATGTTTAAACCCGTGACTTATTGGTTGAAAGTCATCTCCTTAAACCAATGACCCATAGCTCCATATGCACAGTTTCACGTACTATGTAATCAAGTATATCTAGTATTTGAGTCATAATACTACCTAGTTGTCCGAATCTCTGGTTAACATGAGGCTCGAACCCATAGTCTACTGGTTGAAAATTGACACCCTAGAGACTAAACTCCTGTACAGTATACTTTTATGTTTTTAATTTTAAATATTAAACATTTAGCATTTATGAATTGACCAACATATCCTGTATCATGTTAAATCCTTTCACGTCAACTACATACATTCACTAAGATCAAAGGAAGTTTAAAATACTAAAGAAATATATGAAAAAGAAGTGAAAGTAATCCCAAAAGATGAATATCATATGTTTATTGATTTCAGAAGAATATTTTGGCAATCGATAGTGATTGGCATTCAGATCAACTAGAGTGTTCAACCGTTGAATAGGATACACCCATATAATAATGATAGTAATCTAGAATTCTACAGAAAAATAAATGTATTTTATTCCAGTTGCCAAAATTTGTTTATCTGTCTTAGCACTCTGTATCCTCTTGTACTTCTGCATACTTCTGTGTAAGGCTTCTATGCTTGCCTTCTATTCATCATCTGTCTTTCTGAATTTCTGTAGCCTAGCTTTTCATTATTATTATTATTTCCCTTGGGTTCCTAGTGGAACATAGGGCTTCAGTAGCACGTCCCCATTTCACTCTCTTCTCTCTAGTCTTTCCAACCTCGCTCCATGACTGCCTGCCTACAAGCTTTCATTTCTTCCTCACATGATCTCCTCCATGTCACCCTCAGTTGGGACGCCCAACTCGTCGTTTCCCATTTGGGTTCCACTCAAGGGTCTGATCTGACGCATGATGTCCCCAAATAGTCTTCTCTGTGTATACCCAATTCATTTCCACTTTCTTCTGCATATTTATTGGGCAACGGGTTCTTGGTTGGTTCATTGCCAGCCAGTCAGAGTTCCTCTAGCTTTTCGTAGTGTAGTGAACTTTCAAGTTGGTATTCATCTCAGACTGACATCAGCTGGAGAAATATTGGAGACCCGGTGGTACCGGACAGCTGTTTCGTCGTCCTAGTATGCTACTCCGCATTGGAACATCAGGAATCACCTCTCGGAGCTAGTCACTAATGAGAACTAGATTGAAATTAAATTGATCTAATGCTCATTAGTGACTAGCTTCGAGAATTGATTCCTGAAGTTGTAGTGAGAAGAGTCATGACCACTTGGCCGAACCTGGTGGATGTGAGGATAAATACTCAACGATGATATTGGCTGATGGTTGCGCTATGTTGTGAACTGACAGAAGTAGGAAATATGGACCACTAGATTCCGACCCAGTGGGTCGATGGTAACGTGCTGGCTGCGGAACCTGAAGGTCCTGGACTCAATCCCTAGGGGGGGGTCGTGGGTATGCACCGCTGAAGAGTCTCACACTGGGATGAAACAGCCGTCCAGTGCTCCCAGGTTTCTAGTATCAGCTCATGATGAATACCGACTTGAAATCAAGAAATCCCCTCAAACTCCCCAAATTGCATAATAGACTTGTTTGGTACTCTTTTCCAAGGTAAGATACATGTTCGTCAATGAAGTTAACTGTCACCTTCACGTCAAGGAATATGATTACTATCAGTCTCATCATAAGTGATGTTTAAGCTTGACGATTTAGACTTTCTGATCACTTTGACCCATAGTCTGTTTCTTTTGTCATCAAGAAATAAAGTGACTAGTTGACAGTAAGTAATGTACGAGGTGAAACAGTTTCCGATTTGTATAGATTAAAGCAATTAATCCCCTTGATAAATTTAAACAATATAATGGGAAAACGAAGATTGTCTGAAATAGGCAGTGACTTTAGCGCTATACATTTTGAACAATGTGATCACATATGACCTTGTTTGACTGGTTATATGCATACGTCACCTTTAGAAAGCTTATAAAGGTAGAAACTGTTTCTAAGATAACTATGAAGATCACACTCAAAGACCATCATTAAGTACTAGTGATGGATAATGGCTAGCAGCGGAATCTAGAAGGCTCATTTTGTCCCATTACCACTAAATTGAAACTACAAACAATATGGGGGGTTTCGTGCTAGGAGATCTATATACCTAGGGAGAAGATAATCATTTTCGTCAATGACGGCGAATTATGAGGAATATACGTTATCATGTACTTTTAAACCACCTTTATCTATTCAATTCCTCTTTATTGATTAATTTCACGGAATTACTATAGGCTGATGTCAAGATGTATTGCTGACTTATCCTTACAAACATTTTTTTTTCCACATGAACCTACTCCGCATCACTGATTCATCTATCTTATTCTTTGTGTGTGTTTGTGTATGTCTATATCTTTCATATGATTGAGGCTAAGGTGATGATAAAAAGTACTAAGGCATATATATATATGAGACACAAAACAACGTTTATTTACTAGTAACCAATCATCTATTAGGTCAAACAGACTGAAATGGGTCAGTCAAACAAGCTGTTTAACCGTCTACATAAATTGTTTAGATAAACATGATTCACTCTAAAGAATTGATTTTATGCCTAGTTCACGCTTGTATAAAACAATCAAGTTCAACATAGGTATTACTGCATAATGGTCGAAGTTGCTACATTGTGTGTCGAAAGTTGTATAACTAAAAGAAAGTAATGATGTAGGATTGTTAACTGAGAGGTGTGAAAGAAGATTAGAAGGTAATGTAGAGAGAGGTGGATAGTGGTCTGAGAGAACTTGAGCGCTGAGAGAGTTGTGAGGGCGGTTGATACCTCCAAGTTGCCAACACTGTGGAAGGCTAGATCTTCTTGAGACACCTGAAAAAGAAGGGTTAGTGAGTGGCTACAGAGTCCAAGGAACGTCTGATTGAGGCCGGTCACGTACGGCTTTTTTGATGCCTTGACAATTGACGTGTATTATGGAAGATGTAGTCGGACATGCGTCCTATGGTTTTGGATCAGCACTAATCACTGATGACCGATCTAAGCCACCATAATGCATCATTTCTTTGTTCCAGAACGTGTTAAGAGCGACTATTTTTTGTCTGCTATTACGCAACACTTTCCTGGTATAATGGGACACCGAGGAACCAAGCGTTCCATCAGCATAGTTTGTTGGGTCATTGTGATACATCATTCAATTCTGATGTCCTAAAAGACAGACAGGACCTTCAGGTCTCACAGCGAATGCATTAACCATTCAGAGTTTCTCTTCCAAGGGAAAATCTTGATTGAAAATGGTAATCCACTGCTTTTCATAGGCTTAAAACCTTCATGCCAAAAGTACGTTATATGGTAAACAAAAAAAAAATATTTTGAGGGAGTTGTGGAGATTTGAAAATATTTCAAGTTATTATTCATCGTCGACTCACATCAGTTGGAGGAACAAAGGAAACCTGGGAGCACTGGACAGCTGTTTTGTCCTAGTATGGTCGTGAGGGCCGCATCATCCTGGAGAGGCTAAAGGATGCACTGGATTCAAAACTACGACCGGAACAGGCAGGCTTCAGGAAGTACAAATCATGTGTGGACCGAATTGCAACGCTTCGCATCATCATAGAACAGAGTATAGAATGGCAGTCAACTCTCTACCTCAACTTCATCGACTTTGAAAAGACCTTTGACTGCGTCGACCGAGAGGTAATTTGGAAACTGCTTCATTACTACGGAGTACCGCAAACCTTTATCCGCCTCATTCAACAACTATATGAAGATGCTACATGCCAAGTAATTCACAATGGGAAGCTCAGTGATGCTTTTGAAGTGAAGACAGGAGTGAAACAAGGTTGCCGTCTACTATCACCCATGATATTCCTGATTGTGGTCGACTGGATCGTGCAGCAAACAGTGGGTAGCGAGAAGAGGGGGATACACTGGCTGGACTGCGGAAAAGAACCTAGAAGATCTGGATTTCGCCGGTGATGACTTGTGTCTGATGTCACACAAACTTGAAGATCTACAGGCGAAAACTAACAAGTTGACAGAAGAGGTGAGGCAGCGAAGATGGGACTTCAGGTGAATATAGAGAAGACAGAGGTGATGAAGATACCGCACCACCAACAACAACAAACTCCAGTCACCATCAACGGGAGAAACTTAAAGGAAGTAGCCTCTTTCATCTATCTAGGCAGCACTGTTTCAACTACAGGCGGGACAGACGAGGATGTCAAAGTCAGAATCGGGAAAGCAAGACAGGCGTTCATTAGCCTGAAACCAGTGTGGAGGTCTTCTGCACTCAGCATGTGGAACAAGATCCGGATTTTCAACACTAACGTCAAGTCAGTGCTTCTATATGGTTGAGAGACTTGGCGCGTTACGAAAGGGATTTCCAATAAACTACAGACATTCATCAATAACTGCCCCCTACGCTGGCTTGTTACTGAAGCTCAGATGACCAGAATAATGAGAATAGGTAACAAATACTGAGGGGAAGAAAGTGAAGATGGATTAGGCATACTGTAGTCTGTAGCTTGGTCTCATAACTCAGTTAGTAGAGCACCTTCAA